CCCCCCCCCCTCAATACATTCCCTACTCCGTCGCCAGCCCTTGTACCACATCGTTTGCCCTCCCTTCTCTCCCTAAGGACTTCGCAACCCAAGCTTTCGTTTTCCTTCGATCTCTCCGCCATGCTATCTGGTTGTCTCTTCCCTTTTCCACTTACTGATTACGGAAAGAAAGATGCCGTCGTGAATAATTTGGCATAATATATTCCGTTGAGGCGTATGGGCCCCAATGGAGATCTTAGGGCACTGTAGCTCAGTTGGTAGAGCACCTGCTTAACATGTGCGCCCGCGGCGCGAGTTGCTCGCAGGTTGTCGTCGGTTCGAGCCCGGCCAGAGTCATGTTTTTGTTTAGTTCTATCATTTCTCCGACAGTTTGGCCCTGCTCAATTTGAAGGCCAATGCGAAGCACCACTCACTTGCCTCGCAGCGGCAACTGCAAAGCATGGAGGCACTGGGCCGCCAGATTGGCCAGGAAAATGAATAAAAGCTTTTTTTGTGGGATTGAACCAAGATGTGCTGCCAAATTGGCCATCCTCATGGTTCTGAGCCACCATGAAAGCCAGAGATGCTTGGAAGTGGACCCCCATCTGGTTCCGGGAGTGTAACTATGACTGACTTGTAGCATTTGATGAGGTTCCCTTTGACACTTGGTAGCCTAGCAATGAGTCATTGAGGTGCCCTCCTTCAACAACTGGTAGTGGTCATGCAGGCTGGATACATATTCATGACCAATCTGATATAACACCATCCTGACTAATTCCAGTCAGTACAAGTGTACTATAATGACAGATGCCACTTGGGTCAGCTGTGAGAAACTTCAATCATTGATACCAGTCATTGCAGTCTGCTTCTTCTTGACTGTGAGTGGTCATGGACTGAGGTGTGTGTACCTTGGTCATGGCTATGAGCTCTCAAGAACATTACCTGGATGAAGGTTGGTTTGTGTACCATGGCTGCCGAGCCCAGAGGGGGGTCCACCTCCAAGCGTCTCTGGAGGCTCAAAGCCATGAGGATGACCACTGGCCATCTTAGCAGTTAAATCCCACAAAGAAGGCTTTTTCAATTTTTCTGGCCAATCTGGCGGCCCAGTGCCTCCATAGCAAAGAGAGGCATGCCAGTTAAGTTTGAATTGTGACTGTGAATCTTTTCCCAGTTTTAGAGCATCTATAATGAAATTGCCAAATGGGGACTTGTGACCATTATTTAGAGCATCTCGACTGTGGAGTAAAAATTGGGGGTGTACACCTTGTACAATGCATCCCCAACTTTGATTTTCAAAGTTAAAACTATCTTACTTCCACACCGCAGGGAGGTACTGTTGAGTTTTCTTCTCTTTCCTCCTCATCCCTGAACCCTTTATCCCTTTCTCAAACATCGAAATTCCTTTTGAGCATCATAGTAGGCTG